ACAACTACACTTTAAAATATGTCCATTTCAAAATATGTTTCTGGTTTCTTTTGTGAATCGACCCCTTGTTTAAGGTTTTTTAACCTTCATGGATTATATTTGAAAGGACTAAATCATGGTTTTCATTTTTTAAATTGTTATAATTAAAATGAAAATTTCTATTTTTTGATAAAAAGATATGACAAATCTTTTTAATTCTGACGCTAAAAAGATTATGGATGGTGTCTAAAAACTTGAAGCAATCATTTGCAAAAATAATCACCTTGAATTTTATAAATTGTCCTTCAAACCTTACGATGTAGTAGTGATACAGTGAAAAGGATCTTAATTAAGAATCAAAGGGGCTGGATTCAGGTTCCAATGCTACCTTTGACTTTAAATGCCTATATGCTGTTGGTTAGGTTAACTGATATCACCTGTCTTCATTTTTTTCTGTAAAATGGATAGGTATGGATGGTGTTTTGGCATTCCTAAAATGCCATTATCAGCTCTGATTTCAAACTCAACATTTATGCGGGTAGAGGAAAGGTATTACCATCTAAAATTTTATAGAGAACAAATGTAAACCCACGTCCACCAGCTGCCAGGACAGTCACAAACCTTAAGTCTTCCACTGGCTATCTGTCACTTTTTATAGGCATCAAGAACTTCATTTAGGGGCTGGGGATTTAGTTCAGCAGTTCTGCCACCTGCCTCTCAAGCACAAGGTCCTGAGTTTGATCCCCAGTGCCAAAAAAAACAACAAAAAAAACTTCATTTAAACCTCTGGCAAGAATTACAATTATCAAACTCATTCGCATGGATGCAAATGCAATCCATATGGTGATATCCATCTTACACATCAACTCTGCTGTTAGAAACTAAGAGGAAATCACTGAATGGTCTTCCCACTGAACTGAAGTCATTCCCTCTAGTAATGATGTTAAAACCCCACAACAGGAAATGATGAAGGGACCTGGTGTCCCCCTGCTTTGTAACAGGTGTTCAGGCAGAAGAGGACTCATCCTCAGAACAGGATGCTCAGAGTGCTGGCCTGGTAGCTCTGCTCAGTGCCGTGTTGAGCCCTTGGGTGCCAGGTTCCACACAAAAAAACTGACCAACCAGCTTTCATGGACCATGAAAATTACTATAGTAGCAAGAAAAGTGTGTGTGTGTGTGTGTGTGTGTGTGTTTGTGTGTGTTAAGGGGGATAATACTCAAAAGGTATGTAGTATATGAGCCTACTTGGACAGACTAATAAAAGTAACCACAGCCAACTTTGTAGAAATGAACATTTCTTTACCAGCTTAAAAAGAAAACATGCCTTAAACTGTTAGGAGTTTGACTCCTTTGACTGTGGTGAGTCATAGAGCTGGTCTTCTCTTTGGAGGAATGAGTCAGCCCAGACGAGGTAAGCCACACTAATGGTTAGAATTTGCTACGGCAAAGTTCAAAACACTTGCAAAATAACTGAACTGTCAGCTTGAGTAGGAACAAACTGTTTGAACTACAAGCTTAAGGAGAAAACCAGTAGAGGACAGTGACATAATTAAAGCATTGAAACTCCCAAAGAGTCATTTCCTTTTTCTTTCTGTACAACAGTTGAATACTCATTTATTAGTTGCTTCAGAGGCACAGGATGTCTAGTCTTAAAGGACGTCAGTGTGTGTTTGCTCACTCTCTTAAATGACTTTGGCAGGGGTTGAAAGTGTGCAACACAGGCACATAGACTGTTTTTTCAAGCTTCTGTTTTCAGTCTAACTAAATGTCAAATACTACAGGTAAATGACCTAGAGGGGGAAAACCATTCTCACTCCTACTCCATCTCAGAAGCAGTTAAATCTGACACTGCATCAAGGGTTAACAAAATAGACTTTTCTGTCCTCAGGTCCTAACAATTCCTTCAGGATAAAATCAGACCTGGATCACCCTCCAACCAATGAGATCTACCTCCAAAACCCATCCCGATATAAACTCTGTTCTCCTGCCTCAGCCCTCCAGAGTACTGGGTTTATAAGTGTGCATCACCAGGCCCCACTACCAGGTTCACTTTGTAGGTAGTAAGGCTAGAGCTGCAGGACACTCATGCCATGAGACTTACATAATACTGACCTTTCTGTGTGATCAGTAAGGCTATACAACTGGGTCCGTGAGAAATCAGCAAAGTAAACAATCAATCTACTGCTGAATAGATTGACATGGCCAATGAGTTCATTATTCAGGCTCTCACCTGTAATTCTGGAGAAAAAAAATAATTCTGGACAGCAGCAATGTTTTATTCATATGATTCCTTCCATTTTAACATAAATGTATTATTGGCTCAAATTCTACAAGAAAAGGGAATTAATTGATATTCCTTCTTAGTTACAATAACATCCTCTTGAAATCAAATTATTTGGATCAGAATACACATATGAGGGCTGAGAATGTGGCTCAGAGGTAGAGCACTTGCCTAGCATGTGCAAGGGCCTGGGTTCAATCCCCAACATGAGAATGAGGGCGGGGATACTCTTGTAGAATACAGATATGGATAGAAATATATAATACCTAATTTCTTTTAAAGTGATATCCAGATAATAAAGTGTTTTCATTTTGATAATACTTTAATGTAAGATAAGTAAATCATCAAGTGTGGCTCTGCTACTTGAACACATGTAAGTTCCACTGCTACTTCCCAGAATGTTCATAATCACTCCTCATGGGCAGGGCTATTATTCCCACCTACACACGTACAGATGAAGAAGGCTCAGAGAGATTAAGTGACTGCCTAATGCCACAAGACTGCAGAGAGCCCGAACTAGAATCCCAGTCAATGCACTTTCCAACAAGACATACACACGAAGATGTTCACTGCAGCAGAACTAATAGCAGAAACTCTTTAAGTGGCAATAGGCAAATGAATGAAATATTACATCAATTCAATGGGATATTATGTTGTTATTAAAATTAAGTCTTTGAAATATAATAGTGAGGATCATAGCCACTGTTTACCGAATGCTTACTTAGTGACAGAAATGTGACGGCCCTTCAATGTGAACTAATTTTGGTTTCAAATCCCATGAGATAGGTACTGCCATTGTCTACATTTTACACATGAAAATCAAGACTAAAATAAAGTAAAGCACTTGCCCAAGGGAACACAGCTAATAAGAACACGACTATATGCCTCTAAAGCAGAGTTTTTCAACCTTGACATGATTATCATTTGGGGGCAGGTAATTCTTTGTTGTGGGGGGATCTCCTGGGCATTGTAGGATATTTAGCAGCATCCATTCTACCCAACAGTTGTGAAAACCAAAAATGCTAACCCAAATATTGCTAAATGTCTCTGGGGGAACAAAATTGCCCCAGGCTGAGACCACTATTAAAAACCTACGTTTAACCATTATGCTATATACTCCCCTCCCAACACCAGCAGCCTTCGTACAGAAACCTGATGATGGTGGAGAGACAGACATGATCAGAGACAGGATTCCCAAAGAAACAGGCCTGAGAGTCTGCGAATTGACTGCAAGAGGTTGGGGAGGGATGGACTATGAGTAGTGTTCTTGAGAATTTCACCTGTGAGGAAGCCAGGGAAGCAGAATTGGGCAGAGGGAAAGTTGAACCACTATGTTGTTGAGAAAGGCCTTATCCAGTTCTGAAGGGAGCTATGGAGCTGGGGCAGCCTTTCTACAATCGTGCTGACTGGAGACTACAGGTCCTGGCCTTTATCTACTCCCCATAGTCCACTCACTGGATGTGTGTCACCTCCAAGGTGGGTGTATGTTCTAGAGCAAGATGGTGCTCTGTGAGAATGATTCAGGGGAAAGCATTCACTGAGAGGTGACAGCCACCAATACTCCCACATTTGTGCCCTCTAAGTGGAGATCTGAGTGAAGCCCCACAGCTACATATGAGTATTTTGATTGTATAACTGTAAATAATTTAAAATATATGGATAGTAATATATTAAAATAGCCATTAAAATGGCAGTGCTATAATTTATTAGCCTCTTTTTAAAAAAATTAAATACAAGGATGTCATCATACTGATCATACTATTCCAGCCATTTAAAAACAAGTGCTGAAACTTCAGAAAATTCAATTTATAGCTTCAAAATACCATGTATTATAAATTTATATTACTATAATGATTCTCAAAACTGTCATGACCAAGGACCTTCCTTTTGGAGCAATGTCAGACACTGTTCCAGGCACTCCTATGTGCATTAACTTATTAAATCACCTCAATAACTCTGAGGTAAGTACTTTCATTGATGCCATTATAGAAAAATAAATTAAATTCCCAAGAGGTTAGATAATTTAAGATCTACATAGCAATTCATGGTAGAACGAGGGCTTGAATCCATGTACTAGAACTCTTAAATCTCAGCTCTTACCAACCCAGTTTGACCACCTCCTATATACACTTATTTCACATAGTATCCCTGACATCCTTATAACTTCTGATTTTGGTTCCTTTAAAAAGACAGAGAGTAGAATAATAAAGTTGCCATTAACACTGTGCTAAACGATAAAAAAAAAGCTTTATAGTTTCTATTTTAAAGTCTTTTGAGATTTAAAGTCATTTAGATACCATATAGTTTGTAAGAATAAACTGATTATATTTTTCTGTAAAGAATCAAGCTCATCTTCTTTTTTCAACATAAAACAGGAAGCTTTACAGACACCTGCTTGAAGAATGATTCTCTTAAGAGTCAAAGCTTTACACTCCCAAGAGGCCTAAAACTCAAGAGAAAATTGCCTTCAAGCTAATCCACCAGGGACCAGATCTCCTCCTCTGTGGGACCCATGGAAAATTCAACTCAAGTTCATTAGTATTCTGAAAGCTAATTATTTCATCAAAAGATGAGTGAAACTTCTATCTTCAAAATTCGTAATTAATTTCTAACTTCAAAAATGGTCTTTTTCTTCCCAGAATGATCATGGTGCTTTCCACAGCCAAGCCCTTTAGAACCTGGTCCCCAAGGAACACAGCATTATGTGTCTGGTGAATGAGGCCTTCAAAAGGTCCACAGGTCAATTGTCTCAATAGATACTTTATTTGAAATGGAATGCATTTTGAAAATATGAAAAATAAATCACATCTTTGCAAAATCATTTAAGAGACATATTTACACAAATTCTGACCACACTATTAAGTTCACAAATGTTGTGGTTGGTAAAGCATTTGGTACATAGTGGCACTTGCTTTCCAGAAGCTGGTGGTTGCATATTCTGAAACTTGAAGTAGAAGGCTGACCATGGAATGTAACAGAATAATTTTATCTTTCTTTAAAAACCTGCTTTCCATTTTCCAGCCAATCACCAACAGGCCAATTTCAGAGCACTGGACAGTAGGTCAACTTTTACATAGATGCTTCTCATGTCCAGGAAATCTTCTTTAATTGGGCAAGAATGCCCTTGTTTTGTTTCTGCAGTGCTGGGGATCAAACCCACCACCTGGCATATGCTAAGCAAGTGCTGTACTCCTGAGCTATGCCCCCAACCTCAAGAATAACCTTTCTAAGAAAGCTCTGTTGGGGTCTGTACTCTACCTGACAGATCACTTTATGACCCAATCTTTTATAAATCTGGACTGGCTACTCAAACACTGCAGATCAAAAAGTCACTCTTCATGTCAAGAATTTAGAAAATAGTTCCTAAAAACTTATCCAACACATTTCTACAATTAAGAGATCTTAAGTACATAGGTATATTTCTCTTGGAAGAATCACAGATGAACTCGATATCAATATCTATAACGTCCAAATTTAAAACATAATATGCTGAAGGTATTTATTGGTAAAGCAAAAGCCAAAGAGTTTTGCACTTACAAAAATATAAAAAAGCAAATGCTCACAGGCCTATCCTATCCCATAGAGCTGTTTTGTGGAATTGCTCCATGTTCACTGAAGTCTTAGGCCCTTCTTCTATGCCTACTACTGAACATGTCAACATCCACACCCTAACTAAATCACATCACTAGCCCAGAGACAGAAAGTAAGTGAGGAATTTGAACACATATACTGGTAAACGTGTTCACTATCAGATTTTAAATCTGATAGCACTCTGTAGTGCTTGGTACATGAGAGCAAAAAGAGTTAAAACAGGCCTTTCAATTGAAACCAGACTTCCTGCAGTGTTTACGTGTAGGGCAACTCCTTTAAGCAATATATAGGGGGTTTTGTTTTCTCCTTTTTGAAATCATCATTGGAAAAATATGTGAAGTGAAATGATAAATTTGGCTTGATTCATACATGAATAGAGAATCTCAGCTTGCTCAATGGGGAAAACATTAATTGAAAGGGCTCCTTATAGACATTTACTCTGTGACCTCAATACTCCTAGCAGGGCATGAGGAGATAGATCTTAATGGATTTCTGCTAAGAAAGTACACTTAAGGAGCTTCATGATGCTGATCCTGTCACAGGACTAGCTGTTCTCAGGAACATGAGAGCAAGTAAAGGGAAGCACTCAGTGAGACAAGAGAAACGACCTCCTGGCTGCTGAAAAGCACACATTTTTTTCCTTCTTTCAGTCATTTCTCCCAACAAATAGTTCCTGAGCCAACTGTGCAGGAGGCTGGGTGCCAATACAAGTTCAAGGACTAAAGTTCAGTTTCCAGATGGGACATTTCTTCAGTTTTTCAACTTTTACTTTTATGTTTGTTTAAGGGGTGGGCTGTCTATTACACCCACATTTTTACTCTTGTTCTTGGGTTTAAAGTATTTTTATCTTTTTCTATAAAGCTGCCTTGTCAGGCCTCGTAGTACCTTAGGGTTTGTATCATTTTCTTATAGGTAGGACAGGTGTTACTGAGATATTAAATGATGTGCATTTGTATTTAGTTTTGTTGAACATGCTTGGTTTTTTGCTCTGGAAAAAATTATTAAGCCATAATAATTTCAGTTATTGAAACAAAAAAGCCATCCTACCTTTTCTAATTTCTAAAATTTCACAGATAAACACTAAGTCAGGTTCAAACCAGAGAGACATTAAGAGGGTCAATTCAATGTAAATGTTACAGCATTAGGGACAAGAAAAAGGAACAAGAAACCATGATTCTGGCAGCCCATTAAGAATCATGGCTATTGTGGTTAAAAAACAAAAACAAACAAACAAATAAGCTTCAAGCAACCAAGACAGAACCAGGGCATATTTTTTCAACAATGAGATTATCTTATGCTATATATATAAGATAAAAACATACAAATACATTTTTACAAACCTACATTATTCTTAATTTTCATAGTATTTGGTATGGATTTTATCTTTTGTAACAAGAGTTCAGAAGAAAGATTCTCTAATTAGAAAGAGCTGTAGATTAATTTGGATTATTATAACCTGCATGTATTAAAACTACAATACTATGAGGCATTCCTTAAAAAACACAGTAGCAGTTCTCAGGAAGCCAAATCAAACTGGACTTCAGCCATCTTTCAATCTGGCTCACTGAGCTGTCATATATACATATTATATCTTTAAATCCTGGCAGCAAGTTTTCACAGCTGCAGCCTGAGCAGCCCCTAAAAGTAGGACTCCAGTTTCGTCTGCCATTTGCTGAAGTTTTAATTTTCCCCACAACTTTTTGGATAAGAAATATGCTCTCAAAATTTCATCATTGAAATTTCATTGAAATTTTTTTCTAGATGAACTGCACACCTCAGCAGCAGTCTAATGCTGACCAGTCTTCTCCGCCCCACCTCACTCCCACATCTTGGGCTGTGGATTGAACGCAGGGCCTTCACCCTGGCTACATCACCAGTCCTGTTCTTCTTTTTATTTTGAGACAGGGTCTCCCTAAGTTGCCCAGGCTAAGTTCAAATTTTCCCTCCTCCTGCCTCAACCTCCCGGAGTCCTGTATTGCACCACCACACCTGGCTTGACCATTTCAGTTTGAACGCTGGAAAAATACTGACCAAGACTCTGTGAAAGACAATGAAAACCAGAGAACCATTAGTAAAGCCATGCAGAAAGGAAGTGATTTTCAGCCCCAGGAGAATTTGGGATCATCTATGGATCTTTTAAAATGAAGTAGCATCTGCCTTGAGGATTCTTACATCCTTTTGATTTCACACAGAAGAGGGTTTGTTCTACCTTTAGAAGCACATCCTTTCCCAGACTACCCCTTAGACTCCTGAACAACTTACTGCTAAAACAAGGCTGGAGTTGTTTTCTTACTGAAAATCCCTTGTTTATCCAGTCCTTCCTTTTTTGATCTCTGAGTCTAGCTAATCTAAGGAAACATACTTTCCTCAAATTTCTCACAGAATAGAGAAAAACAGCTAGTTTTGAAGATAAACATTATTTTCTCTGTGGAAATAAAAAAAATTATGACTCCTAGTCCATTGATATATTTACAAACTGTATTTTAAACCCTAAGTAAACAGGTCAGAAAATATGGTTCAAGTCAAGTGTGCAAAACTCTTGGTGGAGGATATTCTAGTCTGCAAAGGGGCACAAATACTCTCAAACAAGTAGAATTATTCTCTTTCTCCCCACTACAATTGTGAACTAAAACATCTAATGTATTCATTTTCATAAGTCACAATCAAAAGGACTTTTTTCTTTCCTTTTCATTCCTTTTTTTTCCCCTTGGTGGTAGGGGTTACACTCAGAGCCTGGCACTCTCACACTAAGCTATACATCCAGCTCCAAAAGGATTCTTATTAAACCTTCACACACAGAAGACAGAAGCTCCTACAACAGACCCAGTTCTACCACGTATTCAAGACATGATCATCTTCCTCTCAATAGGGTTGTATCTTAAATATTTTGAAAGCAGGAATCATTACTACTGGTTTTCTTTTAGAAAAGCGTTATCTTGGGCATTATATGTCATAATTACACAATTTTGAGCTTTTAGTTTTAAAAACTTTTGTACACAGTAGATATTTAAGGAAGAAACCTCAGAGAAAAAAAATAGTGTCAGATTTTAATTTTAACCACCTGGCATAACAATGAAAGTGTCAGACCTTCTGAAAATGCCCTAGGAATACTGAATGAATTCTTAATGTTTTCCCCTCCACCGCCCATTTTTCTTTCCCAAGATTAGAACTTACTACGGAGTAGGTTTTTTAAAATAAAGTTTCTTTTTTGGAAAATGGCCTACATTCAGAAATGTCTTAGAACAAATATTAAAAAACTAATAAATAATCATAAACCAAAATACATTAGAATAAAATAAAATTACAGTACATCATCGCTCCTAGAAGGTCCACTATGTTATAAGATCCTTTCAAAGGTTCATAAGTAAAGTCTTCTCGACTTAGAATCGCTTCCTGCACGGTGCCGATGAATATGCAGAAAACTAAGGAAACGAAAGTTATCAGTCAGGTGATGTTCAAACTACTTGATCTGGTGCGGGGCGGGAGACTATTTTGTTTTTGATCCAAGTGAAGACAATAGAACTGAGTTCGTCCGACTTCCTCAAGTCCTCAAAACCTGGAAAGAAATGACACTGAATGAAGTAGGTGGCTCAGAATCCTCCGAGACCCAGTTCTCTTCGGGTCAGTCGAGTGGACAAAGAGTGCTCAGAGACACCAGGTCGCTCCCTGGTCGGGGCCCAGACCCACACAGTTTAGGGGCGCAGAGGTGCACACCACCGACGAGGGCAGAAGGGGAGGGCGCGGTCTTTTCCTCTGCTGAGCCTCTCCTCGCTCCAGCTTGTCTTCTTTCCACCTCCCCAGAAACTTAGAATGATTTCTCATTTGTCCACCCAAGAGGTGAACGGTGGGCCAGCTTCCCATTCCTTCCAACACGCGCGCGACCCGCTCCTCCCTCTGCACCCGAGCGGCGAGGCTCTTACCTACCTTGTCCTGCCGGAGCGCTGCCCCCTTCAGGCAGAGTTGGAGGTGCTGCGGAGAAGCCGGTGGCCGTGCGGCTGGGAGAGCGGCTGCGAGTGCGGTGGTTGGTGCGGGTGTGGTAATGGGTGCGGATGCTGGTGCTGGTGTGGGTGCGGGTGCGAGTGAGGATGCGAGTACGCGTGGAGCTGCTGAGGCTGAGGTTTGGGCTGGGGCTGAGCCTGTGGCTGGGGCTGGAGCTGAGGCTGAGGCTGGGGCTGGGGCTGGGGCTGGGGCTGGGGCTGGGGCTGGATCTGCGGCTGTGGGGGCTGCTGCTGGACCAGGTGCTGCTGCTTCTGTCGCGTGGACTTGACCGCCAGGATGGCCTGACGGTTCTTGTATTGCACCATCTGCAGAGTGATCTCCGCGTTCCAGCCCTGGTCCTGAGGACACCGAAAGTCGATCTCCTTGCCCTCTGCCATCACCACAGTGAAGTACATATACTTGCCCTTGCGCTCCACGCAGTCCACAGTCTTCATGTTGGAAAAGTGCAATTCCTTGAGCTTGACCGGTGGCTCAAGGCCAGCGACAGCTGGGCAGCTGGGTTGGGACGGCTCGGGTGTCCCTGGCCCGGGCTGTTGCTGCTGCTGTTGCTGGTGTTGTAGCTGCTTGGGCGGGATGAGCAACAACCCCTCTTCAGTGAGGATGCAGCACTTTTTCTTCCAGAGCTGCAGCAGCCCGTCGCTGCGCTTCTCCAGCACGCCTTCCTTTAGCGCCTTGCAGCCGCTGCTCTCCAGCATCCTCCCGGCATAAGGGGGCCCGCCGATCGGCTCGGCCTCTCCGCTTCCAGCCGCCCGGGCCGGGGGCAGCAGCAGCAGCCGCGCGCCGTCCTCTTCCCAGCGGCTCCCACGGCCGCCGGCCCGGAGCGCGCAGAGGAGGCTGACACGCAGGAGGCAGAGTGGCGGCGGCTCGGGGTCCCGGCAGAGCTGCAGCCGCGTCCTGATGTGCCACCAGGTCCCGGAGGTACGAGCTGCCTGGCCTCTGCCGTGCTCTTGCGAGCGCTCAGTGAAGGGCACTGGCCGGGCCCCCTCGCGGCGCTTTTGAATGGGCCATCCTCCCCACCCCCGAGTGACACCCAGCGGAAAAGGCGGCTCCTGGCGCCCGCACCGCGGGGAAAAGCCCAGCTCGGCAAGGCGCTCGGCTGCCGGCGCACGCCTCATTAACTTGGGGCCTTCCCAAAGCCGCGCGAACACGCCCCCAGCGTCCCTTGCTCCGCCCCTCGTCACCCACTCACTTCCGCGCTTTTTCGCCCGCAAGGCGGCAGGAACCGAGCCCCGGAAACTGCTCTTCTCCACCCTGGGCGATAAGAGGACGCCCCAGCTGCCTAGCGAAGAATGCCGATGCCCAGAGGGTGCTGAAAGGTCGTCCCTACTGTCCCGCTTCTCCCTGCCCGGTGGGCCTCTCCGCTGACAGCCAAAGTGAGGAGAGCGCAGGGCAGGCAGGTAACAGCTACAAGGCAGTGTTTGGAATACAAAGCTGTCTTCTAACCTCGGCTTTGCGCTGGGTTGAGATCCTGCAAAAGTGCCCTGGTCTGAGATCAGAAGTCCCTTGCAAGTATCTCCCTCAGACCCATACGTAAACATCTTAGTTTACAAAGGCTGAAGGCCTTTGTTCGTGGCCATTGAGTTGCTCTTCTTGGGTCAATAAGGACTACCGTTTGTCCAGGCTGGGAAGGGCAGTAAGGTGGACCCTCTTCAGGTGATGTCCTTTGTCTCGACCAGGGAGCTCAGGCACTAGCCAGTCTCCTCCACCTGGACCACAAGCGCTCTTGCTTCCGCGAAGACCCGACTACACACCCTGCAGTGTCTTTTAGAAGTTACTCAGCTAACTACAAACCCGGGGAATGTCCGGTGCTGCAAGATCCCACATTTCAAAGCACAGCCCGGCCCTCCAGACTCCTGGTCAGCCTTGACAGTCCCCTTCTACAAGGGTCTAATGGGTCAAATCTGTCTTGAAACTTAGGTGACCCCGGGAAGGTAGAGCCCTGCCGCCCCCACACACACACCTCCTTCCTACATATGGAGGGGGCCAGAAAGGGGGTATAAACCGAGGTCTAGCGTCCTGTTAAGTCCTTCATTAAATAAGGACCCGTACCAATATACCGACCCTGAAGACGACATGGAGAATTGCAATAAACTACGGGTACACAAGTTATAGTTGGCCAGGGTAGGAGAAAAGGCTGCTGCTGTGCCCAAAGTGGAGGAAGGGGGAGTTTAGCTCTCCTGCTCATTAAATGGCTAGGAAAATAGAATTCAAGAGAAAAGAAAGTGAGAGATGAGTTTAGAGTTAAGCAAGAGTCAAATCCCTTTTCATGTTAACAAATTCAAATTTTTAGGCATGGTGGCACTTGGCTGTAATCCCAGCACTCGGGAGGGAGGGAGGGAGGTGGAGGCAGGGAGTTCGAGGCCAGCCTGGACTAGTCAATTCAAGGCCAGCTTGAACTATGGCAAGCCCTTGTCTCAAAAAACCAAAATAAATAAATTCAAATTTTTTAACCTAACTCCATGGAAATCAGAAAAAGCCTTTTTTCTTTTTTCAGGCAGTCTCACCGAATTTCTAAAGTGCCCAGGCTGAGTTCAAACTTACCATCCTGCCTCACCCTTCAGTCCTGAATCTTAATCTAAGGAACAATGTCTGATAAAATGGGACAATTTCAGCACAATCATGAGTCCAAATAAACTGCACCCAGTAAGATCCCATGCCCTTCACAGTTAAAAGTCCTTTAAAGAAAAAGGCAATCATAAGTATGTAAAGATTTCTAGTAAGATCGTGAAAAGAAAAAGCTTTACAATTCTATAAGACAAACACTAGAACATTTCATTTTCTTTCTCTGCCTTTAGAACTGAGCATTCCAGAGAATTTCTACATTACCAGCTGTTCATCCTTTTAATAATGACATTCTTTAGCTCATTTGGAAAAGATACTTCCTTTAAGTCCTTAATTCAGTCTCTGAGGGCAGGTGAGTTGACAGACATTTCATATGGAAAAATATAAGCTTCACTGGGAAAACTGGAAGGCCAACCTATTTTCTTAGAACTCAAGTGTGGAGTTACCTAGCCTTCTGCAGTTTGCCAGAATGTAGCAAATGCTTTCTGAATTATCCGAAAATGTCTGAATAGCAGTACAATTTTCAAAAGCACCCACTTAATAACTACAAACTTTAAATCTCAGAATTTTCTACTGGGTATTTCACAATGCTCTAGCAATTCTAAAATCAGCTCAAAAGTCTGTAGGTTCTCACTGCCCACAATGCATCAATTATTAGAAATCTTAGTATAAGACAACTTTGCCCTTAATTTGTTTCAAGTTATCACCAACTCGATGAAATGGCCGTATTTGCCTATTTTTAAGGAAATTCACACAAAAAAGTGTTATAGGTTGTACACGTAATGAAAACACATGTCACTTCCAGGTTGAAGTTTGGAAAGCTAGCTTACAAAGTCATTGGTTTGGTAAACAAATATGAAATGGCTAACTCAAGTTTCATTTAACAGATGGTGATAAAATTGTTATTTTCTGCTTATATAAAGGTCATCACCCCCGACATCAAGGTTCTTACACTTGGGTTTTCAATCTGCTGTCATCACTTTCTCAGTGTTCTCCACAAGCTCCTCTGCTCCCCATCTCAGTCCTTGGTTCTCTTTACACTCAATTCTTTGTTGATCTTTTCCAGTCTCATTACATGCCAGACTCCCTAATTTACACCCTTAGCTTATATTCAACTGCTTTTTGCCAGAGTAACTACTACAGTTAAAGAACAATTAACATAGCCAGGCATGGTGGTGCATCCCTGTAATCTCAGCACTCAGGAGGCTGAGACAGGTGGATGGAAACGAGTTCAAGGCCAGCCTAACATGCCAGGCAAGGAGCGTGTACTAGTGACGTTCACTTAGTTCACCAGAGAAGTCTTTGAAAGGATTTAGAAGTGGGGTTCATAGAGCTTTTGCGTCAAAAAAA